TAAACACAATTCACAAAACCACACACCCAAAGTGCAAAACACCTAATTTTCTCCTGCTAAATGAAGAACTGCACTCAAAACTACATAAACACTTTAGCACCAAATACAACACACTTCATTCATAATACTAGATTGTTTGACCACCCAACTACACACTGCTGAGCATAATCTAAAGCACTTTCATCTTTTATGGGCTATGCTCTGTACATAGAGGTTTCTGCAGAGAAAGATTGCCTGAGTATACAGAAATACAGTAAATGGAGAAATGAAAAACAAATCACATTTTATTCAAAACTAACATTGTGCAACATGCATCTCAGCACATAGTTACTATGTTTCGGATCTCCCTAAATGTGATGCATTGTTTGCCAAAACCCAGTTTGTAACTGCTGCTTCCTGTGCCTCACTGAAAATCCTTAGCCTTCCACCTGCACCTCTTTTTCTCAGTCCTTCAAATAAACCACACAGACATAGTGGTTGGTCAGTGTCTGTGTTGCATAAAAGTAAGTTTACCACAGTACATTGTGAAGGATTTTTGTACAGTTATAGTATGCAACATGCCAACAATTCAATTACAGTAATTAAGTAAATACGTTACACATAACAGATATAAGCACTGATATATCATGAATTATGCAGAGCTGAAAACTGGTGACTAACCTGTTTTCAAGTCTAAGTGTCCGGATTACAGAGGCAACAGTAGATTGGTTTAGATTAGGCTGAACCCTCTGTCCAGCCTCTCTCATTGTCAAACCATGGTTGATAACATTTCATTTCATTAGAGAGTGCTCTTCCTCCTCCTCTCACTCTCAGCCCAGCTCTTCCTCTTCCTCTTGCTCTTGCTTCCATGTTGGCTTCCATTGTTGCTGTAAGAAAGTACTCACCTGTGGCTAACATCCTGATTGATGAGCCAACAATTATGCTATCAGGCGTTTGGTCACGTGGAACGTGTTTCTTGATTATTGGTCCATGTGTGAGGCANCACAGATGAAAGGGCTGACAGGCAGGGCCAGTCCAGTTATTTAGCCGCCAGCTCAGATAATTGGTCGCTTTTTACAGCGCCACGGCTTCGACCAGCATGCATTTTTTAAATGTATTTATTGTCAAAGTACATATTAATGATTCATTTGCTATCGGGGTTTACAGTTTTTCTCGACTTGCTAACTGCTACACACTAAAATGTATACATAACTCAATTATTTTGACTGACACTCAAAGAGCAAAACATCGCCTCAAATCTCCAAAACTCTAAACACGTTTTCAGCTTTTCACATAATTTGCAAATCAACATGACACTTTTTGCAAACCACTGCACACGTTTCTCCACGTAAGACACAGGAATCTGACATAAAGTCACGTGTTAGCAGGTTTAAAACACTGATATTCAAAATGCCTCACACATGGACCAATGATCAAGAGACACATTCCACCTGACCAAACACCAGATAGCATAATTGTTGGCTAATCAATCAGGATGTTAGCATCATAAAAAGACCACAGGTGAGTACTTTCTTACAGCAACAATGGAAGACAACATGGAAGCATCAGCAAGAGGAAGAGGAAGAGCTGGGCTGAGAGTGAGAGAAGGAGGAAGAGGTGGGCTGAGAGTGAGAGGAGGAAGAATGAGAGGTAGAGGCAGAGCTGGAGGGAGAGGACGTGACAAAGAAGAATACTCTCTAATGAAATGAAATGTTATCAACCATGGTTTGACGATGAGAGAGGCTGGACAGAGGGTTTAGCCTAATCTAAGCCGATTTACTGTTGCCTCTGTAATCCGGACACTTAGACTTGAAAACAGGTTAGTTACCAGTTTTTAGCTTTGCATAATTCATGACATATCAGTGCTTATATCTGTTGTGTGAAACGTATTTACTTCATTACTGTAATTGAATTGTTGGCATGTTGCAGACTATAACTGTACAACAATCCTTCACAATTTACTGTAGTAAACGTACTTTTATGCAACATACATTGACAAACCACTATATCATTGTTGTTTATCTGAAGGACTGAGAAAAAGAAAAAAAAAGAGGTGCAGGTGGAAGGCTAAGGATTTTCAATGAGGCACAGGAAGCAGCAGTTACAAACTGGGTTTTGGCAAACAACGCCATCACACTTAGAGAGATCCGAAGCATAGTATGCTGAGATGCATGTTGCACAATGTTATTCTGTATAAGCAAGCAATCTTTCTCTGCAGAGACCTCTATGTACAGAGCATAGCCCATGATAGATGAAAGTGTTTTCGATTATGCTCAGCAGTGTGTAGCTGGGTGGTCAAACAATCCAGTATTATGAATGAAGTGTGTTGTATTTGGTGCAAAAGTTTGCATTTGGTAAGTGTTTATGTAGTTTTGAGTGCAGTTCTTCATTTAGCAGGAGAAATTAGGTGTTTTGCACTTTGGGTGTGGGGTTTTGTGAATTGTGTTTAGTGTTCTGAGAAACTGAGCAATTGTAAAAAAAAATGTGTGTTAGCAATCGAGAAAAACTGTAATGAATAATTAGTCATTTGTTTTCAAGACATAAAACTGATATATTGTTTGGGTGTTTGTCGGCTTTATGTTCTAAGACAATGTCCCTGTAATGATAAAGGTAAAACATTCAGCTGGATAGCTTTGATGTGTGGCATCCACTCCTGCATAGATTTCATTTTCTGTCACATCTCTACTGTTTACTATTCAATAAATGCTTGAAACACACACAATGCCTGCAGGCTTTCTGAAGACAGGAATTTGGGTTGATTTTCTGCCAGTTTTCTTTCACCTAGGTTCCTGAGTAGATCCACATTTGGGCAATAGAATGGATAAAGGGGATACGCAGAAGGGATTCCCAAACACGCAAAGAACTGACTAAGAGCCGCAACTCAGAGCAAACAAACTTTCATTCTCCTCTGTGAAGTGAAAGAGAAATGCTTCTTGAATTTTATATTCAGCAGTCAATAGCACTTCTCAAACAAACAATGAAGAAAATGGTAACTCTGTCAGCGTCTTTATTATTTTGCAATTGCCAGATCCCGCCTGTGGTGGGGGAACAAAGGTTGTAAAATAGAAAGGGTTTATTTTCCACCTTGTATTTTCCACAGCCAATCAATCCTAAGACATCACATTTCATCTTCATTTGGTTGCTTTAATAATGCAGCGCTGCTCTGGGTGAAAAACAGATGTAGGTTTATATTTTTAATTGATTACCAGAGGCTCTGAGAGCAACATAAGTGAATTTGGGGATTTTATACCACTACAGGCTTCCATTATTTTGACTTTAAATTAAGCCTGAAACAAGGTTTTATTTCAGAAAACAAATGAAGACCAAATAAAAAAGTTAAGCCTCTTAAAGGTGTGTTTGTGTGTGCATGAAGCCTTGACAAACTGTCTGTCCTCTATACTTCCCACAAAGATGCTGGCTCTCCCCGTCTCTGAAGAAACAGCAGGCTTGACTGAAATCTTGACAAGAGAGTCAGAGGCTGTCACATATATCAGGGATTACTCATTAGAGAAGCACTCAAAAGCAGCTCCCCCACATTCTCCCTCCATCACACCACAGACTTGAGTTTGATGAGTCTATTTATCTAAGATGTGATGTCTCCTCACCATCTCATCCCTCCTTCTCTCTCATGTTTCCCTCTCTGCCTGGAGCTGACGGTCTCTCCTGTGCTGCGGGGAGCCGTCAGGGAGCCCGTGGGAGATGTGGGACAACAGCTTACCCCTGAATACTTCTCTACACATGGCAGACTGTCACGTAGTAGTCCCTTAAGCTCCTTGTTATGAGCACTGACTGCAGGGTGAAGGGTCCAGATGGTGGCCTGCTCTGTCCGGCTGCCCCCTGTCAGCCTCAAGCCAGAGTTGTCATCCATAACAGAACAAGGCACAAAAAGAAATGTAAGCCAAGTGAAACCATATGTGCCGTTGTATTTCACAGACACACATGCCAACACAAGTGCAATTAGGAATGAGAAATTAGAAAATAGGACTGCAGCAAATGAGTTTTGATTATTTTTGACTGAAAAAACGTAACTCTGGTGTTAAATACGATCATTTATCAGCCCACAGAGGGGCAATTAAAATGGAAAAAAATATCTCCTGAACAGCAGTGACTCTAAGAAACAGAGCTTTGCTTTAGTATGAAGCATCACAGACCAGCTGGCATTGGCAAACACAAGTGTGCTGTGTGTTTTGAAACTGCTCCCATGTCAGTTTTTGCACATCTGTGCCATTTCTAATCCTCTTCAGACTTCACGGTTGTTGAATCCCCAACCTCTATAACGACAATCCAAATCTATAACCTGTCTGTGTGAATTTTTTTTTTAATTCATCAAAAATAAAATCCTTATTGTGTTCCTGCCTCTGGCAGTTTACAGGTTTCAAGATAAGCAGCTCTCCAATAAGAAGGATATTGAATTTGATATCTGCAGACCTTTATTTTTAAGTTTCCTGTGCATCATCCATAAAGCTCAGCAAACTGTCAGGCAGAATCCAATAAATATCACATTGTGACACTTTAAAAAGAAAGAGGAGAATAATATGTTTGTTTAGCAAAACAAAACAGTAAAACTGCAATGAGAATATAAAAGTACAGTCTAAAAACATTTTTGATATAGTTGTTGTGGTCGTCTATGAGTTTGTACCAAAAGTAACCTAAGTGTAAACAGCAACACGACAGTTACAAGTTTAGCCAAACCCAAGAAAGATGTAAACAAAATTAGGCTAGATTCAATCTTGTAATGACAAAATCGTGGTTTTTCGATTCTACAGACAGCATTAAGTTACCCAATGTCTGACGTCAGAGGCTCGTCATTAATTAAAGAGGTGAGGGTGCTCTCCAGGGTGCTGCTCCTGAGCCAGGTATTTCAATGCAGAGCAGCCACATCATCAGGTGTGTCTGTGTGTGTGTCTTTGTGTCTTTGGGTGTAACACGTTTAAAGACTCAGGACAAGTGGATTTAGTTACATTGGTGAGAAAATGTTCACAGAAGACTATTTAAGAGACATTTAAGAGAAGCTCGCAAACATGGATCTGCTTCCTGCCCAGGAGGCTGCTAAAATCTACCACACCAACTATGTGAGAAACTCTCGAGCCATCGGCGTGATGTGGGCCGTGTTCACCATCTGCTTCGTCATCATCACCATGGTGGTCTTCATCCAGCCGTACTGGATCGGGGACAGCGTGAATACTCCGCAGGCCGGGTACTTCGGCCTCTTCCACTATTGCATCGGGAACGCGCTCACCTCGGAGCTCGTGTGCAAAGGCAGCGTGCTGGACTTCGCCTCCATCCCTTCTCCGGCCTTCAGGACCGCCTTGTTTTTCGTGGGGACCTCCATGCTGCTGATCGTGGGCACCATGGTCTGCTTCAGCTTGTTCTTCTTCTGCAACGCCGGGAACGTGTACAAGATCTGCGCGTGGATGCAGTTGGCCTCAGGTGAGGTGAAACTGGCCTCAAGTCCTGTAGTTATAATAATTAGTTGTGATAGAGGTGCTAAGTAACATATTTTCTTTATCGAGAAATAGTAGCAGCACTTAAGTGTATAGGCTACAAAATGTAACAAGGCTTGCACTCAATCATAAAACATCAAAACATACTTTAAGTACCAACATTAAGCACAATGATCCATTACGTAAATATATGAACTGTAATGTTTGATGCATTGAGGTGTTGATAACTTTAATTTTGCACCTGCTAAAGCTGGAGCTGTGTGTTGAACTTTTTCTGTAAAATGCACAAAAGGATAAATGAAGCTATGCCAACCTGCAGTAATACATGATCAAATATGTTGTTGATCAGGCTATATTTTGTATTATTATTGTAAATCTTTTAAGTAACTCAAGCTATTCAATATAAGTAGTGGAGTAAAAACTGTAATATATGCAATTCTGTCCATCAGGGTTAATGAAACAACAATCCTTTTGTACAATGATCAGGTAACACAATTACATTTGTGTTAGTTATACTTTGCTTGTACTTTTTGAATGCAGAACCTATATTTTTGTTCCTATTTATTATGATTACATTTTACTCATCCCTGAAATATCTTCAGATTATTGTTGTGCTTGTACAGACATACAGTATAGTACCAAAAAGTGTATTGATGAATGCTTTGAGAGGCTTTTGCTTTTCACAGAGTTAAGGTCTAAGGTCACATAGTCCATGATGAATTCTAAGATATTCCACCACTTTTAATACTATATAAAACCATAGTTGCTTTAGTTTCAGCATCTTGTTATCCATATCAAGACCACATTCTGACATGAAAGGACACATTCGATAAAACCTTTCAAAGCTTTACTAAAGTTAAGCACCTGAACACCATAACTCTGGAAAGCATCAGTGGGTCTAAACTAAAGGATGAGTGAGGGCAGTCTTACGAGTGTGAGCTGATGAACTCGTCTTCTCACCTCTCTGGTTTCACGGAGGTGTGTGTGTGTGTACTGGATGTGTTGTTCTGCACAGTGAAGCCAATAAGGGGTCGCGTTTCAGACTCTGACACCTCTGATGGAGGATTGGTTACATGTAACAAGATCAGGTGTTGCTGTTGTTAACTGATCTAAACTCACACCTCAAACACGCCGGGGACTAGGAAACAAGCCACATTAAGTATTATCAGAAATATTAACAAAATATCTGTAAAGAATCAAAAGTAAAAGTACTTTTTTAAACTCCTAAGCTGTCAGCAAACTCTATAACATTGTTGCATTTTTCAAAACTGATGGAGCAATGTGTTAGCATAATTAACAGAGCTATAGAAAGTGTCAGGGTAGAGTGAAGCAGGCAGGACCCAAACGCAGATTTAAACAGAAAAATCCTTTATTTCAAGGCTCAACGTCAAAAACAGATCAAAACTAGGGCCCCCAGGTTGGGTGGAGGGGGTCTGGAGGACGGGTTTTGGGCTGACAGCCCAGGAGCACAGCGGAGGATCCGGAAGGGATCTCGGGCGGACGGTCCGGGGGCAAGGCAGAGTCCATGGTGGGGGTCTCGGGCGGACGGCCCGGGGGCAAGGCAGAGTCCATGGTGGGGGTCTCGGACGGATGGCCCGGGGGCAAGGCAGAGTCCATGGAGGGGGTCTCGGGCGGACGGCCCGGGGGCAAGGCAGAGTCCATGGAGGGGCGAAGACCAGAGCGGGCGAACCCAGGGGGCCGAGCATGAGGGCGAAGGCCGCGGCACTCAGGAGGCCGGGCTCGAGGCGAAGCAGGCGGCGACGGAACACTCCGGAGGACGGGCAGGACCCGTGTCGGCCAGACAGGAAACCAGGATCCACGGTGGGACAGCACTCTCGGCAGGATNGGAGCAGGAACTGGGGAAGAAGCAGAGGTTGACTCCAGACGGAACACGCCGAGACGTATGGTGTCAGGTTGGGAATTGGGAGGCAGGGGGCTAGCATGCCTGGGGCTAGCAGGCCGGGAAACACATGTCGGGAGGATATCCATCATCCAGCCAGGTAAGAACTTCACAAGACATGGTTTCTCTTTTGCTATCTGGTGCGCCTCTGCCTGAGCAGCCTCTTTCTGCTCAACACTGGACGCTCCCCTCCACCTACCATAGCAGAAAGCCAAAGAATAGGTACATTTATGTAGTTCCACCTCAAATGGATCATCTGCTGGGTCCATCTTGGTTGGTTTCTTCTGTCAGGGTAGAGTGAAGCAGGCAGGACCCAAACGCAGATTTAAACAGAAAAATCCTTTATTTCAAGGATAAACGTCAGAAACAGATCACTACCCCGTGACACAGTCAAAGACACACAAGAAACCAACAATGACAGACAGCAAAAACAGAACTTAAATACACACAAGACTAATAAACGAAACAAGAGACAGGTGAGGAGGGAGCAGAAAACACAAACCGCCAATAAACACGAAAGAAGAAGAAGAAGAAGAAGAAGAAGAGGAGAAAACACAGGGGCAACAGGTGAACACAATCAAGTAAACAGGTAGGAGTGAACAGGTAGGAGGGAACAGGTAGAAGTGAACAGGTAGGAGGGAACACACACAGACCGGAAACAAAAGACAGATCTAGACAAGACAAACACAACACAGACAGATCGTGACAGAAAGAAGATAATAAACAGAGTTTGTTCCATGAATTTGTGTATGTATAAAGAAAACCTTTCTCTAATCTTTGCATTCTGTGAAATAATAGATAATTTCTGCTCTTTGTGCTTCAGTTATTGAAACAAAACCATCTGATAAGTTTCAGAAATATGTATTTTTGGTCTGCTCTCATAGACACCTGAAGGCCCGAACAGACACTGTTACAATCAAATGTGTTTTAATGTAAAAATAACTTTTAACTAAACATTTTTAAGTCAATGTGGTGGATTTAAAAATACAGCAAATGAAATATAGGGGTGTGTGTGAACTTTAAATACAAACTATTGCAAGGAAATTCCCAAGTAAAATACAAGTACCATACCTCAACATTCAGGTTTGTATCTAAATCCATAAAGTAACTGTGCAAAGCTCAGAGGACACTTTAGCCAATGAAGAGCATTTAACATTTAGGAACTTTCCTAACAGTACATCATGCAAACGGCCCCGCTGAGCATCATTTGCTGCTGCGCCATAAATAAATGAAACCTTTGCACTTTATGGGGCTACGTTTGGCCTTATTCTGCACAGGGGGCTCAGAAGAACTTCTTTAAAATGATTCTTGCGAAGTGAGAGCACTCAAGGGGTAATTACTGCAAGGCTGCACCTTTTCACTGTCCGTCTTCCCCCGCAGCCCTGCTGTTGGTGATGGGCTGCATGATCTACCCGGACGGCTGGGACTCTCCGGAGGTGAAGAGGATGTGTGGCCAGAAGACGGATAAGTACAGCCTGGGGAATTGCACGGTGCGCTGGGCCTACATCCTGGCCATCATCAGCATCCTGGACGCCCTCCTCCTGGCGCTCCTGTCCTTCACACTGGGAAACAGGCAGGACAAACTGCTGCCAGACGACTTCGAGGTGCAGGGAGGAGCAGGTAATAAAAACAGATGAAGATTGTGGGGGGAAAAGCTTAGTTTGGGATGTGGGAATTCTGTGTTGAAGGCCTTTTACCATTGGTAGAAGATGTGATCTTTTAATAAGGTAAAATAAGTATATCCACAACAAGGTAGAAAACTCTTACAATTAAATGTTCTGCATTCGGAATTGTACTTAGCAAAAAGTACTTCATTTAGCATTTAGATATACCTAGAGAACCAAAGGTACAATGTTTCCCTCTGAGATAGTGAATAGAAGTATAAAGGAGCAACAAATGGAAATGCTTTAGTTAGTACCTAAAGGTAATTTAGTTTATTGCTTGTGTAAATAATATACTTAGTTACATTCCACCACTGCCTTTTCACTCCACTTTTTAGTATGTCAAAGAAAGAAAACCATGGTGTTTGTTCCCAGTAAGCAAGCACACAATACATTTTTTATGCTGCTTCAAATATTTTGATATTTTTAATTTTTAATTAAGCTTTCTAAATATTAGCTGACTTGGTTAGTACTGTGAGTCAGTTGTAAGCTAATTGGGAGGCAATAAAGTCAGAATGTCTTTAATCCAATAAATAAAGAATTTCAAGTGTTTTCCCGCTTTTTCAGCAAACCCCTGATGAACACGGACGCTGAGGACGGCAGTGTGATGCGGATGCAATGAACAAGCATAGACTGCATTAGATGACCTTTTTTTTACTGATATCTAGCTGTCAGTTCACTGCTTTACAAACAAGACAACAATGAAGCGTTGTAATTCTGTTCCTGATGTGCAACAGCTAATAAACAAGCTCGACACACTCACTTTGTATTGTATGAACGTCTGTTTTTATTGTATGGTGTGTAAATTGACAGTTTACACAAAGTCTATGTTCTTGAATCTGACACTAAAGTTTGTTTTTACCTAAGCTCAATAGATACATAGGTTACTTTGATATGATCAATTTGGGACACCATTACATAACATCAGGTCTCACCATGTCTATGGTAAAAACAGTGACATTATTAAACAGTTGGCCATACATACGACTGAACTCGAACACTTCTTCCATATGCTTTATTAAAACACAGCTACCTAGCTAAATAATTTTAGCTAAGATATAAGATTTGTTAAAAACTGTACATAACTGTAATATACATAAAGGCAAACTCTTTGGTACAGATATATACACTTTATTTTCACTTTTTTTCCTCTAAATTGGGCTTCTTAACGTGTTGTCTTGTTGAAACCTTTAAAACACTATATTCCTGAATTGTAATAGTTGTATGAGAATACCAGCCTCCCATGGGAATGAAAGACCTTTTATTATAATTAACTAACCTCACTAAGTACCAGGTGACAATGGATTTGTTAGGGCTAAATAACATGACCTACATTATCAGACAGTGGATGTCTCAGTGAGAAACCACAGTCAGCGTAAATGTTAGCCCAGTGTGCAACTTCCTACGCCTACTTTACAAATACAAAATGTATACCTTACATGTGTAATATAAGATAAACTTATTCATAAAAAAACAACACAGCACTAATGAGAATGCACAAGAAAAGAAGAGACAGCAAATCATTTTAAGGGGACAGAATGAGAGGCTACATATCCTTAATTTGTTTGGGTTTTAGTGCAGGAGTGTAACAAGGATGAGTCACTAGCAGTACAATAACAGGATTGCTTAGTTGGGTGGAGGAACGGAGCACAGCAGGTTGGAGCCGACATGACCACAAAGTAATATTATCCACTGAAGTCCTAACGTCATCACACCGAGAGAAGAACCAACAAATACAAAGCAAACATACACAGAAGCATTAGTTCAATAACAACATAAGAAATCCAAAAACAACGGAAAAAAGAGAAATAAATATTCATTTGATATGCCCAAACTGGAAAGTGATCTGTTGCAGTCTCTGGAGAGAGTGGGAGGAGGGGGGAGGTGCAGTGGCTGGAGGTGTCCACTAGAGGGTGAGCCAGGGGTGACGCAGGCACTCTGCGGCCGTGGCTCTCTTCTCTGGGATCAGATCCAGCATGGGAAGCAGGAAGTCGGTGAAGCACTCAGCTTCTTCACGGGGCCACTCGTATTTGTCCACCAGCACCTCCATGAGCCCCCAGGGCTTCAGCTTGGTGATGTGTTTCAAATCCCCTGCAGAGCAACACAGACACATCAGAGAGCCATGCAGGAACACAGCACTATCCCCATTTCACATTCATATTGAAAACACATTTGAACATCGAGTTATGAATACATGTCATATTTTATTAGCTGTCAATAGTCAGAGGTAGGAGAAGTACTCAGTTCTTGTACTTGAGTAAAAGTAGAAGCACCAGAGTTTAGGAATACTCTGTTACAAGTAAAAGTCCTTCATTCAAATATAAAATGTTACTCAAGTAAAAGTAGAAAAGTATTGGCATCAAAATATACTTAAAAGTAGTCATCGTGGAGATTGGTCCATCTCAGAATAATACATATGATATGTTTTATAATTATTGATCATTAAATTGTTATCAAAGCTGGTAAAGGTGCAGCTAGTTGTAATGACTTTGTAGGGTAGCTTGTGAATTTACTCCAGGTGTAACTTAAGTCTGATTTAAGAGATGATTATCATTCATCCAAATCAGTAAAGTAACTAAAGGTATTAAACAAATGTAGTGGAGTAGAAGTACACCATTTACCTCTGAATTGTATTGAAGTACAAAGTAGCATAACATGGAAATACTCAAGTAAAGTACAAGTATTTTAAAATGGTACTTAAGTACAGTACTTGAGTAAATGTACTTAGTTACTTCCCACCTCTGTATACAGAGATATATCAATGTTGTAAATGTCTTAACAATAAAAGAAACCTCTCAAAATGTCAGAGAACATATGTGTACAAATACTAGAGTGGCTCTTGGGCATGATCTTTACGACATGCAGGCAGATACCTTCTCTAATCTGGACGCTGATGGTTCTTTGTTTTACCTTTTTTGGTGAAAAAATCCTTGGAATATTTGCCGGACATTATGAGTTTGCGTGGGACAGTCCCCAGCAGCTCAATGATCAGCGCTATATGGTCTACACGGCAGACGATTGCAAAGAAAAGAGGAACAAGACAGACAAGACACACACCAGATTCGTCAGACGGTGTCCTGGCAACAGGCCCGCTCTGGGTGTGGGTGGAGGGCTGAGGGAGGGAGGGGTCAGGCTCACAGCACTACCACGTGTATACAGTATTTGGGCCAGATTGTAGAAGAGGCCGGGGTGCACTGACCTCCAGATAGAAAAATGATACACCTTGCCTAGAAGAAAATACTCATTCTGAAATGTTTATTCTTCCTTACAAATTCAGTTGCCCATATTAGGTTATGGCAGTGTTTTCTAAAATATACCACTAGTTTATACCAGTTTGATCTTTTGTGTGTTAATAGATTTTCTTGCTCCAAATGGTTACCTGGACAAGACCCTGTGCCATAGTGGGCGGCAGCTGGGAGGGGTTGCAGGCCTAGAGATTAGGATTCAGAGAAAAGCCCTCTAACAGCCATCTGCCCTGCAAAATGGCTCCTGAACGTGACCGACTGTCAAACTATTTCAGGCCAGGGATCCCTTTAGATAAGATCGTTTACCAAGAGTCTTCCATGATGTTAACAGTGCTATAAAGGCGTATGAACACTTGCACTTATGGATGCCACTTTATTCTCTGAAATACCCTGAAAGGTCATTTCATACACACTTCAGGCCTGTAAATAAGGGAAACACTTCAAGCAAATGACTCCCCCTTGCGGTCATGAGAATTCCCCCTCTGAAGATCAATACAGCACCGAGTATCCAGCCAAGGCATCTGGCTACAACCGAGGAGGTACCGAGTGTAGCTCTGCCAGGCAATCTTTGGCTAAACTACTGAAACTTGAATCGATGTCTGATGTCCATTCCAAAGTTAAATGTATTGGTCTGTGTTTATTTCTATTGGCCTTCTCACTCCAACAGCTTTGGTAGGTGTGCTGACAAGACCCTTCCCCCTTCACCTGTCATCCACTTCTCCCAGAGCGAGCCACAAACAGAGGGGTTTCGTACCTCTCTTGGTGAAGTATTCCTGTGAGTATTTCCCACTCAGGGCATAGTGACGAGGGATTTTACCGAGCAACTCAATCATGAGAGCAAGATGGTCTAGAAATGAGGCACATCAGAGGAGGAGAGACAGAGAGTCATAGGGGAACAGTTTGGAGAGAGGAGGAAATGGAAAATGGGAGAGGGGGTAGGAGAGAAATGTCAAACAGCCATGTCGAACAATGCATTAGGAACAATGGATGATGACAGCCTCATATCAAAAGAAGCACATTCGCCTATTCACATCACAAGCTAGTGCTACAAACTTTAAACACATGTAGGCCGTTCACTTTCATGTCGGAAAAACAACTATTGAACTGAATAATGATAATGAAGTACAGCCAAGTAAAACACACCAAGACTTGTACAACAGACTCTGGTTCAGTATGAGGGATTAGTAGAGCATTGGAAGAATATGAAGCAATAACATGTGTTCATGTTGGGTGAGAAAGCAGATTCACAGCTGCAGGGCAAGTGCCAATGAACTAAAAGGTTGAATCATACCTAACATGCCTGGGCTAGATCGAGTCAGCACAGAAACATCAAGTTGAGCGTCAGCCAACATCAACATACAGAAAGCGTGATGACAACATGACACATGGAGAGTGGGGAGGAGGAGATGAAGAAAAGATGAGCAAGGGAAGGAGAGATGGCCCCGTCTCCAGTGCAGCGAAAGTGTGGTTTTAAGTGTTAGAGAGGAAATAAACACAGGAATGCTGGCACTCATCATCACGTCATTCCCATTAGAAGCTTCTGAATCTCAAATCACTGTAATGGAGTACGTCGTTTAAGTGTTAACACTGTGGAGAAAGCAAGTTATTATGCTAAGTGCACAATAACTTGGACTAAAGGCCCCAGCAGCTTACCATGCTTACTGTGAAAATCTTATGAGAATTGAGAATATGATGACAATGAAACACCAATGAAGGCCAATTGTACAGAAAACACCTCAAGAAGCTTTTCACAGAAGCAATACATGTTAAAAGTGACCCACAGTACTAGGGCTGTACCGAATGTATTTTTTATTCATTCAAGGTTAATTAATCTTCCTTTGTATTTGAAAGGCTGAATGCAAACAGCAATGGATTAAAGCAGACTATTACGCAAGATTAAAAAAAACATTGTGTATTGTGGATATGATTACAACACTCTGGAGTTATTGGAGTAATCATACGCAGATATTAGTTTAGCCTGATCTTTATCTGCAATTGTGCAGAAATACCAGATTGAAATTGAAAGACACGCATAAAGAATTTGAAATAATTCGGTACAGCCCTCACCAAAACCAAATATGACTTACCAGTGAAGCATACATATGAGAAATACTACTAAATATAGATCTAATGCTGTGCAGTTATAACTGGATAAAAGGAAAAGGAAGTCCCAGCAATACCTTCATCCCTGGAATAATCTTCCCCAGAATGAGGTTCAAACAAGTAGTCCCCTGTGGCGAGCTCAAAAGCCTGAGGAGACAACACAAACATCATAAACAAATGAGACGCCCTATGTGAAGGGATATATCTACTCCCTAGCAACACCTGCCACACTCTCACATTTCAAGATACATTGGATTTTTTCTCAGGTGTTCAATCAGTGCAATAGTAGTTTTTCATCTCTCACCATGCAGGCAGTGCTCCATACATCGGCCGGTGTGCTGTATCCGGCCCCTATCAGCACCTCTAAGGACCGGTACTGCCGTGTCTGGATGTCTTCTGTAAAGTGCTTGTGCTGAGAAAGAGAAAGAGAGAGAGAGAGATACAACTTGGATCACTACAACAAATAAACAAAGCGCTGGATGGTTAGGGTATTTCTATTTGGGAGGCTAGATGACACCGCATGTGTCCCTAATCAGGAAATCCCTGAGGTCATTAGCGGTCTACTCACCACCCAGCAGGCGTTTCCCAAGTCTGCAATCTTGACCTTGATCTTGTCTGAATTGAGTGGCTCAAGGGGGTTAACTAGCAGGGATCCTGCAGTTAGCTTGCCTGTGTCAGAGCAGGGAGAGAGACCGAGAGATAAGAATGGTCTTAACATCCAATAAAAGAGCAGCGTAACAATCAATATTTCAAAGTTCACATAAGCTGAGGCTTTTTAAACTCCCAAGGCAGACCAGACAAAGAAAAAAAGAACTTCTGTAAAATAATAGAACAAATTGAGCTGACTGACCGTCCACATCTTCGGGCCCGTCCTCCCCCTCCTCTTGCAGAATGCTTTGCTTCAGCCCTCTGTCCTCCATCCCAGCAGGGAGGCGTCTCCCATGTAATCCGCTGCTGTGAGCTCCCCTGCCTTCACTGTCCGTGTTCAGCTCCTTGAGATCTGCAGAGTCCACACCGTTGCAGATTAAGTGAACAGGAGACTCCTCGTGTTGCTCCTCGTGTTGCTCCTCCTGACTGGCACATTTTTCTTTGGGCTCTGCGTTGCCATTGTGTTGGTCTTCGTCCCTCCACTGAGACTGCCTCTGTTCCACCGGCACATGGCCGTTACAGTTCACCTCCAACAGCCCCTCTGGTCCCACCCTCATGACATCTGCATTCTCACTGCTCTCTGAAAGCATCAGGAAAAGACGGACGACATTTATCTTCAAACCATCCATACCAAGGATTATGTTACCCTAACAACAATATAAACAAATAGAATAAGAAGCACGTATAACTCCTATGATGTCGGCTCTTACCCTCAGTTTCCTCATCTCCTAGCTCCAGATAAGACACCTGTCTGAGAGGAGCGCAGGCCCGTCCCTTTGGAGACTCTGGGTCCTCATCTTCCTCTTCTTCATCGTCTCGTGTCTCTGTGGTCTTTTCCATTTCCTCCAGGTCCAAGATGCACTTTTCCAGAAGCTCTGCCTGACGCTTCTGCTTCTTCTTTAACTTCTTCTTCTTGTTCTTGGACATTTTTACTACCTGTAAGGAATTAACACATTATTGATAGTAGTTGATATAGTATTATATGTGTGAGGAATGTGGGAGGTTGAGGTGCAATGCAAAAAACAAATAATCAAATGGTTGTACCTGTTTTGGAGCAGGCGCTGTGCTTACTGAAAAGGAAATATCAAAAGCGTTAACAAACTGAACTCAGGAGTGTAGATTTGAATATGAAAATGTGTTTGTCTCATACTTGCTGAGCCGGAGGGAGGAGGCGCCCCGGCCCTCTGCCACTCGGTGGCTTCAGCTGCGAGCTTCCGGACATAAGGCTCATCCACGCTCATCAGGATGTTCTCCGGCTTGATGTCCGTGTGGATGATCTGACACTTTGTGTGCAGGTAGTCCAGGCCTTGAAGCACCTGGGGAAATTATACATTGGGATTGTAGAAGGTTAACTGTACTCTGTAAATGAACAGAGAACTTTCTTTTAAATATTTTAAAATCTGTTTTCCCTATGTCACTTTTGGTTTTTACAAAGTTAAAATATAATAAAAAGCTAATATATACAAGTGCCATATGGGAACAGAAATATGGGCAAATGACAGGTAGAATAATTATATTAAATAAATAATCAAAGCATTCAAAATGAGCAATACTTTGTGGCAATGTCTGTATAATGCATCACTGTTTCTTAATAAGTTACTTGGAAACACAGAATGTTTCACACAAGTTTCCACCCGTCACACGGCCTGGAGGCTACCTCGCTCTCGTTATGGAGCGGAAGCTACATCTGAACCTCTATCAGGAGTCACAGGCATTGAAAAGGAGCAACACTGAGGGTCTAAACTTACCTGTCTTATGATGCTCTTCACACACGGCAGGGGCAGGCCCTGGTAATTGGACTTTATTATCCACTTTAATAAGTGATGCCCCAACACCTCGAACACCATGCAGACATCTGAAGATCACAGCAGTTAAGATAAAACAACTGAAGAAAAGTGTTATCTCAACATGTTGTGGCCCTCTGCTTATTTACCTACATGAATGTTGTTAGCATTATTTACACAGCAAACGGACAATGGGTCATGGGAGTGCAAACACTGCCGTGTTGTTGGGGGGTGTCAGGTTACAGCTACAGCTCTGCCTGAGGCATGCAGAGGATCTTACTCAAAGTGTTGTGATGGGGGGGAAGTCTGTTTGGGACACGCAAGTTTCCATTTGGTACACCCATCACCTGTTGTTTACTTTGTTACTTGCACCCTGGCCTGCGTTCACAGCTAAATTTGACACCAGAGAGAAGAATGCTCCTCCCCCTGTCAGAATTCTTCAGATTATGAACTGGCTTAAAGTCCCAGATACACCGGCCAGTCACCTGAGAAGTTGCCGACGCCGACACCGACTGTTGCGTCGCCGGACTCTCCTGCGTATTTGCCGACTTCGCGCACTGGAACACACCGCAAATCCGAGCCGAGCATGTATGAACTGCGTATGCGTGAGTGGCAATAACTCTCTTTACCAGCAGGCGGCGGTAGTGTGTATTCATCATTCAAAAGAGGCAACAACCGGAAGACAGAGAAGAAGAACAGACTCCGTGATATAAACAAACAACAAATAGCGTTTTTCTTTCCATTTTCACTCTCGTCCATTGAAAACATGAACGAACAGGAGCTCTATAAACCGATGAGGTGAATTAGCCGTCCGTGTGTGTTCCATCTTCCATTTTAAATTATTTGTTTACCTCCCTCACTTCTGTTAACGCTTCTCATGCATTGATTCGCTAGCTGAACAGCCAATCGGTGTTATCCCTTTGTCCGACTTGCGGGCCCATAGTTGCCTTGGTGCATAGGAAATTTGGTCTATATTTGCTACGAAGGACCTACATAAAATTAACACAATTCCGCCAGAAATGGCTCTTGTTTTGCCCAACATAGACAATGAGAAACAAGAGCAAGTGTGTTCCCGGCATGCCTTGCGCGCCTTTACCTGGGCGTTTGTTATTGCCCAGGGTTCCCACCTATCTAGACGTTTTCCTTGCGAGAACCCCGTTTACCGAGTCACACAAGCGGGATATGCTAGTGGGGTAAAAGGAACTATTGCTACTTCGGTATCGGTGGTGGAGACGACGAGTGACGGCATCGTACAAGTCATCGATGACAGTCATCGATAACGACGACGAATGACGGTACGATGTCTACAATCACGTTTAGTGTCGAGGAGATGGTGTTGGTAGACGTTGTTCACCTGTACCTCTTAATGGACTTGATGTACAACGAATTTAGGTGGCGCCCCGTATTTGTCTTCCCGTTTGGTACCGTTGGTACGAGCCCCAGAAGAAGCGACGAAAACCACATAAAACACCGTCTTCATGTCGCGGTGAATGTCCGGGCCGTATACATGATGTCGCCAAAAGGTCACCAAAGCACATTGCCTGTGCCAATTTACCTGGCGTACGAATACTTGCCTTTATGAAAAAATTATGCTTAAACCAGGCAAACGCGAGGAACACATGTTACCCAGAAGTACACTAGGCCAATTTAACGGAAGGAATGACTTATTCTGAATTCCGGGTACTATGTGGCCGGCTTTAGCCGTCATTTACCCTCAGCCGGGCTTGTACTCGTACCCGTGCGGTGATAAGCCTCCACCACACGCGGACGTGGCAGCACCAAAAAACACGGCTGGACTGCGGAAAGAACCGCTAAGTTGTACCCAACTTAGCGTCGCAG